TCAAAGATTCAAGCTATTTTTCTCCAAATTCAATTTTTTCTCCAAATTCAATCCTCTTAACCTAATCGATAGTAAATATTATGACGCGACGTCAATAAATCGTAGATAAGACTTTCCACACGTCAACATATTAAATGTATAAACCTTTTCCGTTTGATATGATAAGATAACAATGTCATTATAATAAACGATAAGCGAAATTCCACGAAATCATTAGAAAAGAAAGTTAAAGAAAAGTTTTACTAGAAAAAAATCCACGCGGGCCAGGCCAGGACTTGAATTATGGGGGCGTTCATAAATTACGTGAGGTGTTTTTTTGAATTTTCTGTCCCTCCCTCCCCCCCTGGTGAGATGTCGTGAGATTTTTTTCAACCCCCTCCCCCATCCCCCAGTCTCACGTGAGATTTTTCAAAATGTGGGTTTCTTACGTAAACGCTTTGGATTGTTATTGTAAAAAGAAAAAAAAAATGCTTCGTGCTTTTATTTACGACTAGTTAAGACTAGTAATCAATATTGCTGAGAGTTATTTCTTTCGAACGAAATAGTGAATGATCTTAATCGTATTACGATTACGCTTAAGATTAAAGGAGACCCGGCACTTTTCATAGAAAAAATGCTAAACTTGTATACAATTGAATTTGGTCTCAAAATAAAGCCGAAATTATTTGCTAAATAAAACTACTTTTGGCTTATTTTTAGTAAATCGTGGAAAGAAGTTATATAATGATTAATATTTTTTGATATGGAAACCCTAAATCTTCAAGGGACAGAATTTTACTTCAAAATATTACTCAAGTGACTGTAAAAACCATTATTCCTTTGCTTTTTCTAAATAAAAAACCAAATGTCAATTTGACAATCCTAAAATACAAACAAAAAAATCATTCGCATTTCGCATCCGCTCCCGCGTACTGTGATTGTGAATGTTCTCTGCTGTGATTGCCTTTTTATCCGTTAATTCTCTTGACGACCCGGCTACATATAGAGGTTATATTGACAAACCTACGTATTTGACAGACAGCTAGCTTCTGATGACAAATATTGCCAGACTACGTTACCCAATTATGAAACACAGATAAAAAAATTAAAAAAGTATACAACTTTGGCACAAAATGCCGGGTGTCCTTTAAGCATGTACAATCTGGATTAAATGGACCAAAATAGTACATTTTTTTTTATTTCAATCAGAAAATAAATTGCGTGATATTTCCCCCCTCTCTCCAACGTAAGATTAGATGAGATTTGACTCGACCCCTTCCCCCCCTTAAACATCTCACGTAATTTATGAAGGCTCTTGATGGCTGCGTCGAAATTTGACATCGTGGTCTACCAACAATGCGAAGAGATGGCGCTACCTTGCAGCTTAAGGCTAGGAAATTTTCTAGAATGGATCGTGCTAGGGGTACAGTACCCTTAGTACGCAGCATTATCGAATTCGAATAGTTTGCGAGTCCGAAATGTCATTGTAAAATTTTGTATGGAAACTTGAACAGCAGCGGCACGAAGTACGTAACGAGAACTAAAAATCAGTATACATTTGACAATGACATTTCGGACTCGCAAACGATACGAATTCGATATTAGTTCGTGCTAGGGGTACAGATGGAGCCAGTGGCGGGGCAGGACCTAAATTTGATGTGGGCAAGACAGATTTCGCGAGTTCAGATTTCCTGTTGTGTGGCGACCTGAAGACGGATTTAATAAATTAATAAAAAAAAAGAAATACGCTTTTAAAAGCAATGGATAAAAAATTTTGAGGCGCAAGGCCCCTTGTACCGCGAGGCCGTAGGCGGTGGCCCACGTCACCCACGCCTTATGCCGCCTCTGGATGGAGCGCACGAACACGCAATGCGTGGCACCATAGTTAAATCTAGTTTTAGTTGATTCGAGGTTTAGCAAATTTCCTGTAAGTGGCCCTAACACTCTGAGACACTTCAATTCATATCAAGTAATATGCTGTCGTACTATTATTTCACCGCAAAGAAAATGACAGCATTAAATTTAATCACTAATTTATTATTAAAACGTAAAAATTACATTACTCCGTAACAAAAAAATATTTATTTTTAATTTTTGAAGCATTTAACTGCTACATGTTTTAATCTAAAGAAAAATTTACTAGAAAAAATTACACGTGGACCAGGCAGCAGACGGGGACTAGAACCCGCACCCTTCGCTATCCGGGCGAATGCACTAACCATTACGCTACCGTGGCCCTGACGGCTTGTCGAATTTTTCTGTCTGCCTTTCTTAGACTGCAAGGCAGCGTCATCTCTTCGCATTGTAGGTAACCCACAATAATATAAAATTTTATTTACTTAGGTATAGCATGAACAACTACAGTGAAAGAGTCGCTGCCGGCAGCAGTGGCAGGGCTTACCAAGGTTACCCTTATACTGCCGCCATCGTTACCGACGTGCCGACCACAGCCGCAGTACCTGCCGCACGGTATGATGACCTTTTTTATTTTTGAAGTGAAACTTCTTTATCGGCGTTGGAAAAAAATTTACCGTCACATTTTTCGGTTACGCGTCACATTTTTCCGTTACGCGCCATCTTTTTTTATATTAATAGTTGATAGCTGAATGATCACACTGTCGCCGGCGAGAACTCTCTCTACTCGTTTGTAGCTGAGTGACAATAGTTATTAAAGATAAGACTCGCTCAGCCAAACTCGCATAGCGATACTCGCTCAGCTATACTCGCTCGGTTAAGCTGGCTTGGCTGTCAAAAGCCGTGCGCGTGCATTTTAACTCAGGACTGCCAATTCGTTTCTAGTTTCTACTCGCTTATCGTTCATCGTCGGAGGTGGAACATGTGCCTTAGATTACTGAGCCGTGTAATCATAACAGTTTCATAGGCAGTAATTTGTATTCATGTCTATGATAATAAAATCCTTTTGTTTAAACTTTATCTAATTTAACTTTATTTAACCAATTTCTGGAAAGTTGCATGTAGATCATTTTTCGAAAAATAAGGCCATAAAGAAGTTTCACTTCTTACGTGTGTACACTAGTACACGCACACATTTTTTTTTTGTTTCTGGAAAATGCCTTACGCATCCTTCAACCACTGGGGGAGCGCGAATAAGGTATGTGGGACTCCTCCCTGTCCTCTTCAGCCAGCCCTGGAGCTCGCTGATGTGAACAAGGCCACTAAAAACCAGACAATACTCCTGCACCGTCACCCGACACGCACTATGAGGACCGCGGTCCCCCTAGTGCGCGCCGAGAGGGCAGGTGTGGTCGCGGACCCGTCTCCGAATGGCCGCGCACACGGTATGATGACCTACCGCGGCAGCATTCTATCAATCAATCGTCAATTTAATTCTTAGCAAAATTCATATTGCACTGAACATATCATTAAAAAGTAGATTGTAACCTTTTTTTTTATATAGTTAGATCCGACAAATGACTCCACCCCACCTGATGTTAAGAGAAGGTGAAGTCCAGACGCGACGCGCTGATACAGCAGTTCTAACTGCCACACCAGCCATCCTCACCCTGCCGGCCTGCAAGTTGCTTCTTCACGCCTCTTTTAAAGGATCCCAGGTTGTAAGAGGGAGGGAACACGTGAGCGGGCAGAGCATTCCATTTACGGATAGTACGACAAAGAAATGAGTCACCAAATTTCTTTGTACGCGTTGGAATTGTAGCCACAGTTAGACGGTGACAACGTAAGCCAGCCCGCGTGGTCCTCTGAAGGAAAGGGGAAGGTGGAATAAGAGAGAATAACTCCTCAGAACACTCGCCGTGGTACAGACGATAGAACGCGCTTAGTGACGCCACGTCACGGCGTAATTGAAGAGGCTCGAGGTGTTTAGTCGCCTCCTCATCGCCTATGATGCGGATTGCGCGCCATGATTACGGAGTAACTTTAAGTTATAAGTCACGGCAAGAAACTCTAAACGCTGACCGTTGAGCGTGTTAATGCAGAAGTAAAAATTAAGATGTGTTGGGGGGAAACGAGTTCGGTGTTGGGGGGAAACGGTTCCCAACTTAAGGGTTTTGCCCCCAGATTTAGGGGCTAGAAGGGTTAAAACGGACTTTTTTAGGGGCTGGAATTTTTTGGGGGTTTTTTTAGGGTCTTTTAACAAAACTTGCAATTAAATCGAAAAATAAAGCGTGTGTTTTCTTTCAGTTTTGTGCGTAGAATGGAACGCACCACGATATGAAACGACTGAACTCACTGTGTGGCAGGTTGTTTCTTAAGGCTGTATGGACTAGAGTTCTTTGCCTTCCACCAATCAAAACAGCCAAATAAGATTTAACAGCCTGTCAGCTCATTTTCTTTTGATTTTCCATTCGGAAAATGTATTTATTCAATAAAATAATTTACTGTAACTAAATATGTAACGTTTTAATTTATGAGCAACCAAAATTTTAGGTAATAAGTAGGTACATAGAAATTTCTATATTTAGGAGATTTTAGGGGAATTTAAAAAGGACTTAGGGTAAAATTTTGGTAAGGGTTGGTAACACTGGCGCGGGTGGGCGTGCGTTGCGCCGATTGGCTCTACAGTCCAGTGTTGCCAGGTCCGATTTTTAAAATTCGGGATGGAAAGAGCTACAAGAAAAACAGTACAGATACAGAGGCGTGCTTTTTGCCATTTTCACCCCCCTCCCCCAAATATAGTAAATAAGTATAGGTAAATCAAATCTATATAAAGACCAGTAACGAATGTGTTTCTGTGGCTTCTGCCGCCCCTTAAAGCTAGTTTTGTTTTACAATAACATTTTTTATAAAATTAATAAGGTTACCTACATTATTAATGGGCGAAAATGCAACTCAACATGTAATTTAAAAAAGAAAATCGTATTCTAAGAAAAACAGGAGATTCATGTAGAAAATCAGTAGAACTGGAGAAATTTCAGAAAAACAGGAGATCTCCTGTAAAATCTGGAGACCTGGCAACACTGCTCCAGTCGTACCCATGCGGAGCTATCCCCTCCGCGTTTTGTTCAGCGCTAGAGTTATGTGCCGCGACCTGTACTGTGATCATGGCGCTTGCAACAGTGCCAAAATATCGGAAACTCGCTTAAAACAAGGCAGATGGTAGCAATCCCGTAAATAACATTCTTTATATATATAATTCTTCTGTGAGTGTGTATGTCACTGAACTTCTCTTAAACGACTAGACCGATTTTGATGAAATTTTTTGTGTGTGTTCAAGGGGATCTGAGAATGGTTTAGATTCACAATTTTGTCCGCTGGACAAACCCTATTTTTTTATGGCGGTACGAAGTTCGCTGGGACAGCTAGTATTACTATAATGTCATTAAAACATATCATTTAAACTAGCTAATACAGTGGCAAAAGTACAAGCCATGGTGTATATTGAATTATTGATACACCGAGCGGCAGCCACCGTTCAATCCCCTACCCCTTTAAGCCTTTTTTTGGAGTTTACTCCTTAAGAATCGATTTGCATATATAAGGGGTCCGGTATGAGAAAAATGTGAGGAGTAAAATCTATCGATGAATGGCCTCGTTACGTTTTTGGTGCGCAACTTTGAGAAACAAAGATGACGGATTGACATTAATCTTTTTGAAGTTATACTTCTTTAGGCGCGTTATGAAAAAATGATGAGAGTAAAATTTTTAGATGCGCGCGCATCACTGTAACCCAAAAGTAACAGCATGAAGTTGGCCGCGGGCGCGTTATGAATAAATCATGTGAGTGAAATTTCGAGATGCGCGCGCATCACTGTAACACAATAGTAACACCATGAAGTTGGCCGCGTTGGCGCGTTATAAATGTTAGTGTCTAATAATGGTGGATTATTAACCACTTAGTGGTTAATAATCCACCATTATTAGACATCTGTTCGAAAGGTACTTTGAACGATCCACGGAGCTCCATAAGATGATCGCGTTGTCAAAAACAATGTTGGCACGCTCGTCGCCTCTGATCACTGTTTTCATATTTATAATATTTATCCACATGTTTCTAGTTTCTATATAGACACAACGTGTTTTAGTTACTTACAAGTGCTAATTACATAGGACTAATAACTTAAATTCAGTAGTGATTTTAATTGAATATTTTGAATATTTATTTAATTTTTCAAATTAAAACTGAACTTAATTGACTGTGTTAACTATCCTTTTCCAGTCCTTTTATTATTTTATTGTAATTATTTGCATGCAATTAAAAAATATTTTTAATGATGCTAAAGAAGTATAACTTCTCACGCGCGTACATAAGTTACACGCATCCATTTTTTTTTTAAGTTAAATAAACTCTTTTTGCGTCTGGTTAGACTATCGAACTTAAGGAGTAAACTCCAGTCGTGCGTCGGAGCTGACACAAACAATTTTTTATTTTCTTTAACGATGAGAAATCCCTTGACGCACCGTACCGTGCGCTGGCGAGGCGCACGTCGTATGTGGGACTCACCCGGCGTGGGATACAGCGCTGGTCCTACCCACTAAAACTCACCGGTACCCTCCTACCGATGAGAGCCGAGTACCGAGTACCGAGGAGCTCGATGGCGCAGGTGGCTAGCGCGTTCGGCTGCGATCGTTGAAGTTAAGCAACTTTCGCAGTGGTCGGTCATTGGATGGGTGACCAAAAATTTACTATCTCGAGCTCCTCCGTGCTTCGGAAGGCACGTTAAGCCGTTGGTCCCGGCTGCATTTGCAGTCGTTAGCACCCACCAATCCGCACTGGGCCCGCGTGGTGGGTCATGACCCAATCTCCCTATTCCATCCATAGGGAAGGCCTGTGCCCCAGCAGTGGGGACATTAATAGGCTGATGATGATGATGATGATGACCCTCCTACGCCCATTTGGAAGCCCACTTAGGATTTGTATTCTTGTTAACCCATCGAAATGTTGTTATTAAGCTGTTGTGGAGGCCCTTGGGCCACAGCCCCACCTGCCCCACCTTAAATTCGGCCCGGCGGGCAAGTACCACCCCACTCAGCCATTAAGCGATTGGGGTACTCCCTCAAGATGGGCAGTGAATCGGAAGTGCTTATCAGGGCCATTTGAGATTTTGATATTTCACTGATTGCCTGATTGGAGTGAACAAATATAGATCAATGTATCTGTTATTTAAGATTAATATAATCAAATAATTATGTATGTTAGATGTGCAAAGTACTGTAGGCTGTAGGTAAAGGTAAAAGAGCAAAAAAAATATCAAAGGAAAAGATGTTTACTAGTGTTTACTAGTTGGAATTTGAATGATTTCTTTTTCCGAAGTCTCTATTGTGGGGCCCCCCCGTTTGTGGAGGCCCCGGGGTTTTCGCCCCGGTTGCCCTCCCCTAAATCCGGCAGTGCTTAGAGCAACACAGCCGACGCGGCTAGCAGGGGAGTAGCCATAATGACATAATACTATTGATATCATTATACTGTGGCGGCGACATCTACATGCCCCACATATAATATAACATAGAGGAAATAGTCACTCGCCTCCTTAAGAGATGGCGCTACCAGCGCTGCGTTCACAACGTATGGAAGCCTACAACGCGCAAGAGAAATTCGGAGCCTAACACTCCATATATACGATGCCCGACCAATATCAGTCGGGCCGCGGCCCCCGAGCTACCATCACCCAGCTCGGAGGAAGATCTTCCCCTTTGACCTTCCTACAATACTGAAATCCAGTCCAACATACTATCGCAAAACCGAAATTGGAATTACGACACTCACACATAAAAAATGACAGCGCTTAATCGGGCATAGATAAAACTTAAGACTTTTTATTGACAGATCTGGAATTTGTACTGACGGACGGCGATTACTACATATAATAAATAAATAAATATTTTAAACACTCACACCAATTAGCCTAGCCCCAAAGTAAGCACTGTAAGGCTTGTGTTATGGGATACTAGGGTAACGGATAGAATACATATACAGTACATAAATAAGTATATTTATATATAAGTACATATTAAACATCCATGACTGGAGCACAAATGCTCGTATTCATCACACAAACATCTGCCCCCACCGGGATTCGAACCCGGGACCTCTCGAGTCGGTGACACCATGAAACCCGGCGTACAAACCACTCGGCCACTGAGGTCTTATATAATACTTGTAACTTGTAAGCAATAAAGATTATTTTTATTTTATTATAATTTTAGCATGAACAACACTCAAGGCGTCGCTGCCGGCAGCAGTGGCAGGGCTTACCAAGGATACCCTTATACTGCCGCCATCGTTACCGACGTGCCGACCATCGACGCAGTAACTGCCGGGCGGTATGCTGACCTGCCGCGGCGGCAGTGGCAGAAAGATGAGCCGATGGTGTATATTGATATACCAAGCGGGAGTCAGTCTTCAGTGTCTCAAGTAAGAAATATATATACGAGTATATATATATATATATATATATATATAAGGGCTATGCTATTTCTTTTTTTCCTGCCATCTTTAATTAGGGTCGGGCCTTCTTGTGCATTTGCGTCAGGATATTCTGTCCCGAGGAGCTCGAAGGCGCAGGTGGTTAGCGCGATCGGCTGCGATCGTTGAAGTTAAGCAACCATCCCAGTGGTCAGTCTTTGGATGGGTGAGCAAAAATCTTCTATCTCGAGTACCTACGTGCTTCGGAAGGCACGTTAAGCCATTGGTTCCAGCTGCATCTGCAGTCGTTAGCACCCACCAATCCGCTCTGAGCCCGCGTGGTGGGTCATGGCCCAATCTCCCTATTCAACATGGTTCTGTCCCAGGTTGTCAACGGTGATAGGTTTTGGGATTTTAAATCTCTTTCTCTTGTCTGCCTCTTGTTATTTGTTTTGTGTTGATGTTGAGCACAGTTTTCACGGACTAGTTTTCTCGCTTCAGCACATGACCACACCTTCTGAGCCTGCCCTCTTTCAGCTTAAGGGCTATGCTATTAATGTACCCGGAATTGGCCATTTACAGATCATCATCATCAGCCTATTAATGTCCCCACTGGCGGGGCACAAGCCTTCCCTATGGCAGTAGGAATAGACAACAGACCATGACCCCACCACGTTTTTTTAATAGCCAGGTGACTACCCCACCTAATGTAAAGTGGTGATAAAGTCCAAACGCGAAGATAGCTGGTACAGCAGTTATAAACTGCCACACCAACCATCCTCATCTTGCCGGCCTGCAAATATGCATCGTCACGCCTCTCTTAAAGGACCCCAGATTGTAGGAAGGAGGGAACACGTGCGCGGGCAGAGAATTCCACTTACGAATAGTACGACAAAGAAATGAGTCACCAAATTTCTTTGTTCGCTAATATAGTAATAGTGACCACAGTAAGTCGGTATATATATATCCTCGTTTCGCTTCGGTGTAGAGCTGAAGTGTAGACTACAGTTTTTGTGCTCAGGCTTGTATTATACACAATGACATTCATCTATGATTCTTCTTATACCTGCATGCAAAGTCTCAGCTCGATCGGTTTAAAATTGACAAAGTTTCATACAAATTTTCATTCCCTATTTTATCCCCTTGGGGGTAGAATTGATCAAAATCCTTTCTTAGCGGATGCCTACGTCATAACATGTACCTGCATGCCAAATTTCAGCCCGATCCGTTCAGTGGTTTGGGCTGTGCGTTGATAGATCACTATGTCAGTCAGTCACCTTTGAGTTTTATATATATAGATATATGTCAGTACGTGGGTATATAAATGAGTGCTTAAGACTAGATGCAGTGGGGACTGACGATGGTTTAATGAGCCTTCCGAAGGTTAATTATAGGTTATGTGTCTTTCGCCCGGGTGAAGTGAAGTGAATCTAACGAGCAACTACGCAACGCATGTAACTACGTAATCGATTTTACATCTAGCTACAATTTTTATTATTTTAAAGCATGTAACTGCTTGATGTTTAAATCTCAACAAAATATAACTAGAAAAAATCCACGCGGACGAATGCATTCGCCCGGATTGCGAAGGGTGCGGATTTTACATCATTACTAAAACTTCAATTACTCTGACTAATGTCGCAATTACATTTAGTCGTTAGCCCGTATTCGGATCCGGATTGCGAAGGGTGCGGGTTCGAGTCCCGTCTGCTGCCTGGTCCGCGTGGATTTTTTCTAGTTATATTTTCTTTAGATTTAAACATCAAGCAGTTACATGCGATGTACGCAGATGCATGTCGATTACGTAGTTACATGCGTTGCGTAGTTGCTCGTTAGATTCACTTCACTTCACCCGGGCGAAAGACACATAACCTATAATTTATTACCTTCGGAAGGCTCATTAAGCTGTCGTCAGTCCGGGTTGCATCTAATCTTAACCACTCATGAATATACCCACGTACTGATATATATATATATATATATATATATATATATACTGACTTACTGTGGTCACTATTCCTAAGCGAACAAAGTTTGGTGACTCATTTCTTTGTCGTACTATTCGTAAATGGAATTCTTTGCCCGCGCACGTGATCCCTCCTTCCTACAATCTGGGGTCCTTTAAGAGAGGCGTGAAGAAGCATATTTGTAGGCCGGCAAGGTGAGGATGGTTGGTGTGGCAGTTTATAACTGCTGTACCAGCTATCTTCGCGTCGAATTCGGGCACCCGAAGCAATATTTGCTGCTGGAATACAGGCTGGAAAACGGTATCGAGTAACCATAACGAAATCTACCTGAATACTGGCGTTCTCGACTTCGGTCATTTACACGTTGTCGCTTACCCGAATTCCATTGGCACTTGTGTTCGGGCTAACAACCAAGTATAATCGCTCCATAATTTATACAAAAAGCAGGAAAAACTTGTTTAATCATACAGGGGTTAAATTTTAACTTGATCTGGACACTATTCAAATTTCATTTCTAAAATCCCAGCTAAACAGCTTAGTTCCCTAATCGCAAATCAATATTTCCAGCCAAACTCCACCGCCGGTCCGAGGCCCCAACAGTCCACATACAAGCAGGATCCTGGTGACAATCCTGTGGTCTACATCGACCTGCCGGAGAGCAGCGGCAGCGACGTAGCAGAGAGAAGAAGAGTTGAGAACGACGAGTCATTTGTGCAGGTAATAATACTTACACTGGTAAACATCTGAAGTTGAAATTTTTTTCTTAAATAACCTATCATCAGGCGGTGCATAAAGCCAGAAACATATTAACGTGTCGTGGCGTGACGTGGCGCATCGGTTTCATACATTTATTATAGATATAGAGATAGTCAGGTTAAAGCGTCGACACGACACGATACGTAAATATGTCTGTAAGCATAGTAAATGTACGAAACCGATGTGCTTCTGGCGCGTCACGACACTACACGACACGTTAATATGTTTCTGGCTTAAGACATAGGGGAATGGAGCAGCGCAATCTTTGATCTAATACTGTGAACAGTGGTACGGGTGTCGAGCGTAAGAATAGAAGACTAAGTCAGAGGGAAGACCATTATGTCTGCCAATAATTAATAATAATAATAATAAATATTTCAGACACACACACCAATTAGCCTATCCCCAAAGTAAGCACTATAAGGCTTGTTTTATGGGATACTAGGGTAACGGATAGAATACATATACTGTACATATATAAGTATATTTATATAGACATACATAATTATTAAACATCCATGACTGGAGTACAAATGCTCGTATTCATCACACAAACATCTGCCCCCACCGGGATTCGGACCCGGGACCTCTCGAGTCGGCGACACCATGAAACCCGGCGTACAAACCACTCGGCCACGGAGGTCGTCACCACCTTATTAACATCTTATACCCACAATTACTTCAGTTATTCAGTCATCATGGCACTTGCTTGCCACAGTGCCGAAATACCAATGACTCGCAGAAAACTGATAAAGAAAGATACACGGTAGTAAATCCCGCTAATAACTATAACTAGCAAACCAGTGAACCAAATGTTCACCAAAACCTGATTTAAAAAAAAATGTATTTAATTAATTGAGAACTTCGGAGATTTTGTGTGGTTTCGTTTGAAATTCGTGATTTCTCGAAAACCGGACGTGTTACGTTACTCAAATCCGGTTTGTAGTCTTATCAGACTATTCTTAACTTATAACTTAAACATTCTCTTTATCTATCTCTTACGGTTTGGCCGCTGAAACAGCACCACAGACAGACGGACGGACTTGTCTAATAGATAAGAGATTCAAGTGACCACGAGAGTTTATAACCAAATATCTCGTATATTGCTTACAGGAGACGATATTCTACGACCCTTTCAAGGACAGGAGGATAGTAGAACGATCAGAATCGGACAGTAGCACCACCAGCGGCAGCGCCGATCAGGAAGATGTCAGACCCACACCGCCGAACACACTGACCCTGGGCTCTACGAACAGAGGTATTGATCAAAATAGTACGACCTATGACGAAATGACGACCTCGACTCGGCCACCGAGTGGTTTGTACGCCGGGTTTCATGGCTGTCGCCGACTCGAGAGGTCCCGGGTTCGAATCCCGGTGGGGGCAGATGTTTGTGTGATGAATACGAGCATTTGTACTCCAGTCATGGATGTTTAATATGTATTTATATAAATATACTTATAGATGTACAGTATATGTATTCTATCCGTTACCCTAGCATCCCATAACACAAGCCTTATAGTGCTTACTTTGGGGCTAGGCTAATTGGTGTGAGTGTTGGAAATATTATTATATTATGATTATTATTATCGGGGTGTGTCCATTCGCGGACAATTACCTTGCGGGTGCGCGGACAGTCGGCAAACGTTGCCGCGACCAAACCCGCGCTTCCTTTTAAGTGGCCCTGTTCAAGGCGTTAGGTAGGTAGGGCCCTGCCCATTTCACCCGGCCCAGAGCTGGCTGTAATGAGCAGGGAGGAGTCCCACATACCTTTTTCTCGCTCCCTATGCGTGGTTGAAGGATGATTAAAGCCAGAAACATATTAACGTGTCGCGGCGTGACGTGGCGCATAGGTTTCATACATTTATTATGGGTTAGAGAGAGATAGAGAGGTTAAAGCGTCGACACGACACGTACGTAATATAAATACGTAAATATGTCTCTAAGCATAGTAAATGTATGAAACCGATGTGCTTCTGGCGCGCCGTGACACGACACGACACGTTAATATGTTTCTGGCTTTTAACGCCGACCGCTGAAGCAGATAGATCGATCAGGGATCCGGCTAAACATAAGAGGAAGCGATTTTGTATTGTCAACGACAATTTATCATCATCAGCCTATTATTGTCCCTATTGTTGGGGCACAGGTCTTTCCTATGGATGTAATAGGGATATTGGGCCATGAAACACCACGCGGGCCTTGTGCGGATTGGCGGGTGCTAACGAATGCAGATACAGCCGGAACGAACGGCTTAACGTGCCTTCCTAAGCACGGAGGAGCTCGAGATTGAAAATTTTTGGTCACCCATCCAATGACCGACCACTGCGAAAGTTGCTTGACTTCAACGATCGCAGCCGAACGCGCTAACTACCTGCGCCTTCGAGCTCTTCACCATTTACTCAGCTTTATGTTCCATTCCGCAATAAACAGTTTGCGACTATCTCATTCAGTGGAAAACAGGTGAAGGATGCCGGCAAACGAAAAACGCAGTTCCGGTGGCAAACAAGAGACCTGCCCGCACCCTTACCAGACTTAATAGGGACAAACTCCGCATAATTATAGGAACCCTAACTGGTCATTGTCCCCTAAACAATCACCTATACACAATAGGAGTAACAGACAGCCCCCTATGCAGAGGATGTATGGAGGCAGAGGAAACGCCACAGCATGTCATTATGGAATGCAGGAGTGTGGCCGACCAACGGGCACGACTTCTCCAGTCACCCGCATCGCTTCCGGAAGCTTGCAGCAGTCTACCAACACTACTTTCCTTCTGGACTAACCTAGGCTGGCTGGAGTAAAGGGGAATGTTTCAAGACACGCACAATGGTCCAATGATTAGGACTAAGTGCGGAAACCGCCCTGAAAACTAAACTAAACTATCTCATTTCAGGATACGCTTCGTCCAGCTACTCAAACCTGCCAGCTTCATTCGCAAAGGAGACTTCAATATACGGCCTATCTACTCCCACAAACGGATACAACCGTGACGACGTCCCCGATCCTCCACCGGCGTATACAGAGACTGACACCATGAGTCCCACGAGTACAAATACTTCTGGGTATACCGGAACACCGACCACTTCCCCTGGAGTAGCAGTCGCGGAGACTTCGCGCCAAGAACCCCCGAGGACGCAAGTCATAACTTCAACAGGTAAGCGATGAATAACGTTAGCGTCGAGCAGTGGCTCTTAACCGGTGGTCTCTGGGACCACTTCCCCTGGAGTAACTGTCGCGGAGATTTCGCGCCAAGAACTTCCGAGGACGCAAATCATTACTTCAACAGGTAAGCGATGAATAATAATCAATAATCAAAATCATTTATTCAGTTTAGGCTGTTACAAGCACATATGAATGTCTAGAAGCTACGCCATCGGTTCGTAAATCTACGGCGGAAGACCTTGTACTGAGAAGAACCGGCAAGAAACTCAGCAAGGGCTGTTTTTTTCTCCCTGTTTTATCATTTACAGAGTCGTCAGGTTGAAAAATGACTTCAGAGATGAAGTCACCTTTCATTCCGTAATGTGAAATTATACATTAATTGTTCACCTGCATTTTGATTGCTGTGTCACACAGTATAAATACAAACAGAGTTATTTATAATAGGTGTAATTAAACATTTACATCTTAAATATCAAAGTAGTTAGGGCAGATTCATCTACGCTGGCAGCACCCGTTCAACGTAGTCAATAACGTTAGAGTCGAGCAGTGGCTCTCAACCGGTGGTCTCTGGGACCACTTCCGAAAAAAATCAGGCATCTCTATACACGTAACCCAACAATCTCACTAAGTTTCATAGAAACATTCAATTTCACCCTATATATATATATATCTCCGTGTGTCGCTCGTGAGGCATTTCCGTTTCATCTTTCCCATAGGATTTTGCCATTTACACCCCCCGCCCGAAAGGAAATTTCACTACAAAAAAGCTTCAAACAATCAGAGACATATTAACCATTAAGCCAAAAGGGCTAAGGCCGAAGCCATATAAAGTAATCGTTGCTGATCTATGTTTTTGATTTGATTTACTCAATACTAGGGGGGTGGGGGTAGCAATCGTATTGTTTGTCCGCGGCAAAACAGAAATTTTGACAAATTTTCTCTCATCACAAAACAGTTAACAACCACTGGCCTAGAGTTCGGATTTAGGGTAAGCAAGCCCAGAGCTCAGATAGTGCTGCATTTCTCGATTTTAACATTATAATTTGTTTTTGTTAAAATTAACCGACCACCGCCATCTATGGAGCGGTGGCGAAACTCAATTCAACAATTAAAATTCATTTTAGAGAGAGTGACTAGATGGCGTTGTCTTAAAAATATGACTTTAAATGTAGAATATTAAATAATTACCTATAAACATAAATTTATTTTGGTTTGTCATATGGTTTAGATTACTTTCAATTTTGTTCATAATACAATTTCAATATTTTAAAGACACATTATTGAAGTCAAACATCATTGATTGAATCCTAAAAATAATACATACTATAGCATTTAAGATATATATATATATATATATATATATTTATATAGTCAGGTAGGCAAATGACTACTCCACCTGATGTTGTGGTGTTAAAGTACAAACGCGAAGATAGCTGGTACAGCAATTATGACTGCCACACCATCCATCCTCACCTTGCCGGTCTGCAAAAATGCTTCTTCACGCCTCTCTTAAAGGACCCCAGATTGTAGGAAGGAGGGAACACGTGCGCGGGTAAAAGAACGACAAAGAAATGAGTCACCAAATTTCTTTGTTCGTGTAAATATTGTCACAAACGATTTAATGGACCATTTTATTGTCTGTAATATTTGAAATTAAATGCGATTTAACAACAGTTAATTCTTGTCATTATCTATACAGTATGAAAATGAGAGCCTTATCTCTTAGAGATTAGACGTCCCTAAATGATTATTTTATATGTTTCACATCCAGTGGCCAGTGACAAGATTGTGAAGCACCTGTTCTGCGTGTACTGCGGCATCCGCGGCCCCACGCTCGTCATCAAGGAGGCCGGCTACACCACGCACATGATCGCCATCATACTCGCCATATTCGGGTGAGATAGCATCATCGTCATCATCATCATCATCGTCATCGTCATCGTCATCGTCATCGTCATCGTCATCGTCATCATCATCATCATCATCATCATCACCAGCCTATTAATGTCCCCACTGCTGGGGCACAAGCCTTCCCTATAGATGGAATAGGGAGATTGGACCATGACTAGTGTTGTCAGGTCCGATTTGTTTTAAATCGGTACATGAAGTCAAAAAAATCGGGAAACAAAAAACAAGGGGTTTTTAAGTCTGGGTTTAATTTCATCATCAGCCTGTTAATGTCCCCACTGCTGGGGCACAAGCCTTCCCTATAGATGGAATAGGGAGATTGGACCATGACTAGTGTTGTCAGGTCCGATTTGTTTTAAATCGGTACATGAAGTCAAAAAAATCGGGAAACAAAAAACAAGGGGTTTTTAAGTCTGGGTTTAATTTCATCATCAGCCTATTAATGTCCCCACTGCTGGGGCACACGACTGGCCTTCCGGTGCCTTCCGAAGCACGGAGGAGCTCAAGTTAGTAAATTTTTGGTCACCCATCCAAGGATCGACCACTGCGAAAGTTGCTTAACTTCAACGATCGCAGCCGAACGCGCTAACCACTTGCGCCATCGAGCTGCTCAGGGTTTAATTTATTGCGTTTTAAACTACTAGTGTAAGAATAGTATCTTATTAATTACCTAAATTTATTTTTTTCGTTAATTCATTTAGCATCCCGATCAGGTAGAAATCGGGACGCGTCGCAAATGACAATGAATGAATGACACATGTCGTTTATAATAAAAATATTTTTGAAGTTATACTTCTTTAGGCGCGTTATGAAAAAATGATGAGAGTGAAATTTTTAGATGCGCGCGCATCACTGTAACACAAAAGTAACAGCATGAAGTTGGCCGCGGGCGCGTTATGAATGTTAGTGTCTAATAATAACCATTATTAGACATCTGTTCGAAAGGTACTTTGAACGATCCACGGAGCTCCATAAGATGATCGCGTTGTCAAAAACAATGTTGGCACGCTCGTCGCTCTGATCTATGTTTTCATATTTATAATATTTATCCACATGTTTCTAGTTTCTATATAGACACAACGTGTTTTAGTTACTTACAAGTGCTAATTACATATGGACTAATAATTTAAATTCAGTAGTGATTTTAATTGAATATTTTGAATATTTATTTATTTTTTCAAATTAAAACTGAACTTAATTGACTGCGTTAACTATCCTTTTCCAGTCCTTTTATTATTTTATTGTAATTATTAATTATTTGCATGCAATTAAAAAATATTTTAATGATGCTAAAGAAGTATAACTTCTCACGCGCGTACACAAGTTACACGCATCCATTTTTTATGTCATGTCACAAAATATAAACGTATTATTAGGTCATAAATAAATAAATTTCCCTTTTTTCAGACTGTTCCCTTTATTGATTCTCGTTTACTGCTTCGACTTCTGCAAATACGACAATCACTACTGCAAGAACTGTAACAAGAAGATAGCGTACGAGCTGCCGATCTGCTGCAGAGACCTCACTTATGTCACATAACCACAGGTTTAGAAACTGAAGGAATTTCTTATCGTACGAGCTGCCTATCTGCTGCAAAGACCTCACTTATGTCACATAACCACAGGTTTATAAACTGAAGGAATTTCTTATCGTACGAGCTGCCTATCTGCTGCAAAGACCTCACTTATGTCACATAACCACAGGTTTATAAACTGAAGGAATTTCTTATCGTACGAGCTGCCTATCTGCTGCAAAGACCTCACTTATGTCACATAACCACAGGTTTATAAACTGAAGGAATTTCTTATCGTACGAGCTGCCTATCTGCTGCAAAGACCTCACTTATGTCACATAACCACAGGTTTATAAACTGAAGGAATTTCTTATCGTACGAGCTGCCTATCTTCTGCAAAGACCTCACTTATGTCACATAACCACAGGTTTATAAACTAAAGGAATTTCTTATCGTACGAGCTGCCTATCTGCTGTAAAGACCTCACTTATGTCACATAACCACAGGATCAGAAACTGAAGGAATTTCTTATTATAAAAATAAGAGCCGATTCACACCAAAACGGGCGCGGACATAAGCAACAAGGCGTTTTAGTTTAGTTACCTGACTTTCGCATTGCCAAATGAGGGTGTTTATGAAAATTAACGTCACCAGTTGGCACCACTGTTACGTCAGGTCTTTTGTATGAATTTTTTAGCGCCAACTCCATAGACCAGATTCATAGACTATGAGATCATATGCGATTTGACGGATGATTAGACCTTTCGTCTCAGTACTGCCACCTGGTGCCCGTCATTCCAAAAAACCCTCATTAGAAGCGTGTATGACGTATCTATAACTATAAAACACGTGAGGTGCTTTTTTGAATTTTCTGTCCCTCCCTCCCCTCCTGGTGAGATGTCGTGAGATTTTATTCAACCCCCTCCCCCAACCCCCGATCTCACGCGAGATTTTTCAAAATGTGGGTTTCTTACGTAAACGCGTTGGATTGTTATTGAAAAAGAAAAAAAAAATAAAGATGTGGTTTTTGGTTCTACTACACCAATGGTCAAGAGATGGCGCTGTAGCCTCCTGAATCGCGCTTTGGTTCCGTTGTTCCAGATTAATAAATACTTTTGATAGGCCTTCACAATGCAGTCGTTAGCACCCACTAAATAGAGATTCTGTTTCTATTTTGTTGGTAGATTTTCTTAATGTGCGGTAAATACTAGCGGTGGGTCGTTCTCAAATTTTCTGACGACGAAACGCAACCGTTTTCTCTTAAACGAAAACTAGTCCTCGAAACGGTTCTCGTTCGCAACTGGTTTTGGTTGCGGCTGGGTGACGCAACGAAACGACACGCGACGGTCGAACGAATGTAACGCAACGAAACTGAACTAAATGAAATCTTGTTAACGTTCGTTTCGTTGCTGCGAACGAGACGACTAAACATCGAAATAAATGTAGTGTTATACGATAATCGACTTTAAATGTTCGATAATAAAGATTATATTATTGTAAAATCAAAGCTTAATTATCATAGAACGAAACGGCCTCTTAGCATTGCGTTCTATTATAGACTGTATTTGCTTATTCATAAAGAACATATTGGCTTGCAGACAATCCGAGGACTAGTTCGACGAAGACTGTTTTGATCCGAAACGTAAAACGGTTCTATCGTCGCGGAACACAAAACGGTCCTTGAAACCGGTTCGTCTTTAGAACGCTCACACCTAGTAAATACAAAAGTAAGAATTTTGTGTTACAGTGATGCGCGCGCATCTTAAAATTTCACTCTCATCATTTTTTCATAACGCGCCTAAAGAAGTATAACTTCAAAAAACGCTTCGTGCTTAGATTAAACCCTAAGCCTTTTGTTTCAGTCAGAAAAAAAATTGCGTGATATTTTCCGAGACCCCCCCTCTCTCCAACGTAAGATTAGATGAGATTTGACTGGACCCCCTCCCCTTAAACATCTCACGTAATTTATGGACGCCCCCTATTGTATATTTCAATCGTGGTGTATAATATATTTAATACTCTGCACCTGCGCTCTCTTTAAAAGGAATGGGATGGAATGACAGCGTGCACGCATGCGCAACAAACTTAATCTTCCTTATAACAATACGTAGACTAAAGTTAAACCTGGACTAAAACTGATGCTATCTCTTTTATTTATTAAAAAGAAGACAGAGACAAATTTGGTTTTAAATCGAGAAAAACTGTAGTCCACGTTTTAGAATAATGCGACATAAGTATATGTTAATTGATGTAATTAAATAATTGTATGAATATGCTTTCAATTGTAAATTTCCCATATAGTAAGTAAAATTTACTTACATAATAATATAATATGAAAATTGTATAAAGTATATGTATGAATAATGTACTTTTTTTATTTTAGCGTTAAACGGCTAATAAATACAGCCTAAGTGAAAATTGTATCATATCACGTTAATAAAATAATGTATTAAACGTATGTAAGTTTTTGAATACCTGTGTTCCAATCTAAAGAAAAGTTTACTAGAAAAAAATCCACGCGGACCAGGCAACGGACGGGACTCGAACCCGCACCCTTCGCAATCCGGGCGAATGCACTGACCATTATGCTACCACGGCCCTATTCGCCACGTCGGAATTTTTGCTAGACTTAAGCTGCAAGGCAGCGCCATCTCTTCGCATTGTAGGTAACCCACAATGTCAAATGAATACTTTTTCAAGTATTAAACATTTGAAAGAAGAAATAGCAATTATAGTTATGTTTTTATTTATTTTTAAGCATTTAAACTATTATTTAGTAAACTTTTCTTTAGATTTAAACATCTAGCAGTTAAATGCTTAAAAATAAATAAAAACATACCTGTGTTACATTGCCATTGGTCACAATATTAGACGAGTAACCGAGCTTGTTTTGTTCACATCACTCAAATGAAATATCCAATTGTGTGGTCAGACTAAAAACTACAATTTACGTTAAGAACACAAGCATCATCATCATCCTATTAATGTCCCCACTGCTGGGGCACAGGCCTTCCCAATGGATGGAATAGGGGATGGCCATGACCCAAAACGCGGCCCCAGTGCTAACGACTGCAGATGCAGTCGGGACCAACGGCTTAACGTGCCTTCCGAAGCGTAGGAACTCGAGAGAGAAGATTTTTGGCCACCCATCCAATGACCGACCACTTCGAAAGCTGCTTAACTTCAACGATCGCCGCCGAACGCGCTAACCACCCGCGCCATCGAGCTCGTGAACACAAGCAAACGCCATTTTAATAAACAATAACCCTGGTCCTAGATTTTATAAATTTTCCGTTGGTTTTGGCCACAGACAGAACACAGAGATTAGCACGGCCTTGTGGGCCTGATGTGACGACCACCATCACTCTGTCAAGAGTGTAGCGCCGAAGAAAATTTGAGAACGATGATGAGAAGAAATATATTTGCGTAAACGGAAGAGCTTTTGTCTCCCGGAACGCAAAATACATGCATTTTCGTTCTCTTTTTGGATCTATGTATATTGTAAGAAATATCGAAACAAGTAAAGCTTTTGAGGTGGTAGGAGTTGACCTAGCAGGTCCGCCATTGTTTATTTATTTATTTTCATTTGGGAAACATACAGTTTTACACAATTCAATTAAGTAACACTTATTACTTTTTCATAAACCAGTTAAGTTTCCACAGACTGAAACATTCATACACTAATATAATTTTCTTAAAATTACGTACAATATTTAGAGTTATGTGAATAGAATAAACATGATAATCAAAATATATGGTAAGAAAATAATTACTGAGTGTTAGGGTAAAACGACCTTATAGCATTCATTTCTGAAATGATTGTAAGAAAGGCATAATATATCCAATCCCCTGAAGTATTTATTATAGCTGTGACATGCTCTAGAAATGAAACTATTTGCAGCAAACTTGGTTCTGCTGAATTGTATTGCAAACGTGTTTTCAGACCTAGTTCTATTTGGACAACGGAAACCAATCCTCTGCAAAAGGAACGGCGAATCCACAAGGTCATTAATAAGTTTGTAAAGAAATAATTGTTAAAATTTGGACAGATGTGATGGGTTGTTTTTTTCACCTGTGCCGTTTTTAGGGCCGTCCATTTTGAGTTAACGCTGAGTTTGTGTACTGAAAGTATTTTAATGGCTTTTAGGCGATTTGTTGCTAGATTTTTTTTCCACTTTTATTAATATAATAAACAAATTTAACTTAAGTGATGAAAACAATAACTTACCTATTTAACTTGATTGGTCCTCCGGTCTTCCTCACTTTTAAAGCTTGCTCCCAAAACTTAACAGCTTCAGGTAAAATTGTGTTCTGAAAATTATACAGTATTTAACTTAAGACAATGGTATTTGGTATATATCAATCACAATTTGAATGCTATATTTCAATGTTTTTAATAATCGTGTTTGATTGGATATTTTAAATACCATTAACAGAAATAAGTCTACTGTAGCCCTTGTAGTTAAGGGTGTGCCTCAGGGATCGATACTGGGTTCTTCACTATTTTATTCATAATCTTGCTTAATCCTTAATGTTTATACATACATTTGAATAAGGTATATTCATGGCTGAATAATAATATCTAATTTACAAAATAAAAATATGTCACTGCCAGCGCCGCTGTCAGGAGTGGTTCCAAATAGGCTGGCAGTATTGCCACGTTGAATGGCAAGGTAGATCCGTTAACCAAGATAGCTGCCAGCCTTTTGGTCACCAGTCACTTCGGTGAGTCTCTTTGATAATTCGTTAAATAGGGAACGAGCGCTTGGACCCAATGGGCCCATAGTCTCAACACCAAATGACACTTTAATAGTTCTCATAGAGAGCTGAATATATTATATTTAATAAATAAATATTTAAATACATACGTAGATAAAAATAAACATACATTTTTTTCGACTAAAATTAAAATAATAATGATATGATAATAGCACAAAAAAAAGAAATTAAAGTTGGAACACAACAAACAATAACAGTGAAAGGAAAAATTCCTTTATCTGCTTCTTAAATATAGTTACACAATGGA